TATAATCCCCCCACGAACTAAGAGTTTTGTGTGTGTGTTGGTGTGAGTGTGGTCAGTGGATAACGCTCTGCTGTATCCGTTTTCACCTTGTGCGCGCTCAGGTACTCTTCAGCGGTTGCACAGAATTGAATGGAAGATGTGCTGGAAGCAACCGAGGAAACCTATGAGATTAGAGGTACACATGGGGACAAGGATATTGGCGAGGGATATGATGAATATCCATAAATGAGCACAGTCGCCCACGCAGTGTAAGAGTAGGATGTGAAAGACAGCGAGAATGCCTGTGAGAAGGGAAGTAAAAGTAACTGAGCAGATGAAAGAAATAAGATGAAGCATAATGATGACATCATACTGAAACAATTGAGCACAAAATCTCACTGTTCACTACCGATTCCCTATTCTGCTTCAGTGTATACAATGAGAGAGAACAAAGAGTGCCCATACTGGTTACCTGTCCTTTAAATGCTTATACCAGCCTTGAAATGGATTACAAGCAATGGAGTGAACACTCCATGAATGACGATATCAGCATTTCTTGACTTCCTTCCACAGCTGAGCGGGGACTAGTGATCTTATGCCATACAAATAGAATCAAAAGGATTTGCCAGTACAGCGAAATGTCGGTGGCATTGTTTCTCAAAACTTAATCTCCACACCTTTTAAATATCAGGCTGAAATAGTCATCATCCAGCAGTGACTTGAAATGCCCATTTCTGCATCTGCTTGCAATATTTTAGGCTTGATCTGTAAGTATCAGTGCCTCTTCAACAAAACCATATGCAGGATAGATATAGGCTGCACTTGGCCATAATTACCGACACTCTAGAAAAGAGGGTAGAGACAGTCACCACCCTACATGATTCTGTTGAGATTCGGTTTTCATGGCTTTAATATCATATTCTATTTATATATATTTTACTGCTTACCTTATACTTTGACATTTTTTGTACCTTATTGACTTGACTCGGAACCACCACTGTCCTTACTCTATATGATGAAATATACCCTTCCTTTGAGTCTAATATACCTTCCTCCAAATTGCCAGCATCTAAATTCTAACAGATTCACAATATTAGAACAATCAATTTGAGAACTTACAACTGGAGCAGAGCAAAAATAGAAACCAGAAACCAACTAGCTAGGGTCTGCCCATAAGTATGCCAGATCCCAAGGACAGTAGGCAGGGGCATGGCTGTAAGTAATATCATATACAGTTGACTATCTCACAATGCATGATGTTGAAATGCATAATTCTGACTTTGCATATGGATTGGGCTGGAACACAGTTGGAGAGCAGGAAAATAGGCTAGAAATGCATATTGCATAATGCATATGATTTTAGTTAGGAATATGCATTGTTAGATCCAAAATTATAGTAACCTGATATGACATTGTGCATATATTAGAACAATAAAGAACATAATTTGTTTGTATGGACTATGACAAACACAAAAAAAATTATTGTAAAGCAGTGCAGCCTATATCTCTATAAACATGCCTCTTGAACCAACATGAAAACCACATGCTAAATCTGGAAATCCATATGAGCATACAAAACAGAAGGAGAAAGTTCCAATGTACATATCATTGGCTCAGCCTCCAAAGCAGATCTTCCACCCACATCTCACAACAGGAGACTGGCTTATAGTATTCAAACATATTGATAACCATCCTTTCTATTGACATGCTGACATTGTGGTACATTTCACAAACTGAAAGGAAGATCCACTGCTCTTTATCCAACTAACTCTTTCACAGAAACTGGCATCTTGTATAAAAATCAAACAGCATGCAAATGAGAATTCTAATGCATTATCATTCAAAAGTCTCACATTGTCATCCAATCTGATGTGGAGCATGCTGTTGCATTCTGGTATCAGAATATGCAGCTCTGAGGTGAGACTGTGATCAGTGCAATGCTGATAGAAAAGCAAAATTGGATTGAAAATCTGATGAATATTCTAGAGGATCAGTATTTGAAAGGAGAGGAATGGTTGAGATTATTCTGCAAGGCATAGAAGATTCAGGAGATTCAGCAGCATAGAGAAGCAGGCTCAGTGGATATGGTGGCAGTGGAAAAAGAATGTGTGTGCCTTCACAGCATTATAGTGAAATATGTGATGCAGAACAGATGGAATATTGATGAATCCAGTCTTGTCATCTTTGCCATCTTAGATCATACCTTGACATCTGGTCCTATGAGTGGATGGAAACAGGATAAGTTCTGCATCACCATGTGTTTTGCTGTGAATGCAGATGAGAGTGAGTGGATGCTAGTTGTTTTCATTGGAAAGTCAAAGCAACTACAGTGTTTCAAAAAAAAGAGTCCAACAGCAATAGGATTTTATTATCAGAATAATAAAAAAGCCTGGATGATGAGCAAAATATTTACAGAGTGGATGAAGATGTTTGATTTAAAGATGAAGAGAGATGTGATAGGTTCTGCTGATCTTGGACAACTTTTGAGGGCATTCTATTGCTTATACACTCTATAACACAAAGCTGGAGTTCTTCAAGTCCAACATGACTCTATATGTCTAGCCACTAGATGCTGGTATTATCTGCTGCTTTAAGGCACATTAT